AATAAGGCTATTTTAAAAATCTTTAGTAAACTTTAACATTTTTATACTTGGCTAGAGATCTATGAGTGACTTTTTTTATTTTTCACAATTTTCTATACTTTCTAAATTCTCTATACAATGCATATGGGTTCCCTACATTAACATGAATTTTTTTTCTAACTTACCTTGCTTTATGACTCTCTTTTCTACTTAAATTTTGAAAATTTAATTTTAAGTGTTTTTCATGATAAGATGGAGGTATTGCTCCAAATTTATCAATCACAGGTGATTTGTTAACAGCCATATTCACAGATCATAAACCTGAAGAGAAATATTAAATGTATGTTAGCATACAAATGCACTCACCATACCAAATAATATATGTCATGCAAATTCATTACTTGTGGAAAAGGGTAGTAAGATGGAAAATTAGGCTTAAGAATAATAGCCTATTAAGGAAAAATTTTAATTTAAATTTAAACTCTCAGATGTTGGATTCCAACCTAATTTTACCTCTCAAGTTTATCTCTTCTTTCCATTATGTTACTATTATAAACTTGTCCATTTATATAATATCTAGTCTTTAATATGTTTTAGCACTTTTATCAGCAAAACCATTGAAAGAAGAGCATGGCATGGTAGCTAAGAGGACTGGCTATACAACCAGACTACCTGATTTACTTAACTGTTCTGTGCCTCTGTTTCCTTACCTGTAAAATGGGAATAGTATCTCCTCACAGAGTTCCTGTGAGAAATAAATAGTTCAGTATATGCACATTGCTTAGAATAGAGCCTGGCATATAGGGAACTTTAAGCATTTGTCATCATTATTAGATTATTGTTTTCTGTTCTTCAAAGCCACTTGCATATTTCTTTTATGTCTCCTGTCTTTTTGCCATTTAGATTATGCTTTCTCTGCTTGCCCTCACACCCAGATATTTTTTTCTTTCTCAAGTATATCTTAGCATATTCTACGAGTGTATGACCAAAACTAGGACATGCTATTTGTGTTTAGTGGAGTATTTAATCAGCAGAATGAAATAATGAAATGGTAGTCATATTTATACTGGATTATTTTGCATTTCAGTTTTAAGACAGTTAAATTTAAAAACTGATCATTAGATCAGTCAAGGTTTTGGCAGGAAACAAGACACACTCACACGGTGTAACTGAATGAAGGGGTTCTTTTGAGAGACATGGGTAGAGTTATAAAACAAGATGGTGTAGTGTTCAAGGGCTGGCAAGAAGGGGATAAGCTGTTGCCACTCTTAGGACTGAAAATGAAGATAGACCAAGGAAGAATAACTGTAGGAGAGTGGTACTTAGTTAAAAGTTTTTGGCTTTGGTTGGGAGATGCTACCAATCTGAGGCTACCCTCTAAGAGGGAGCCTGGAGGATAGGAACTGTGATCTCATTCTCCTCTGCACTCCACTCCAATCATCTGCCTGTGCTTCCCATTTGCTAAACCAAACTAGAAGCTCAGGAGGCACGGGGCAAAGTGGAGAAGGATGGAAAGCAGATCTGAAGGGCAATGGGAAAATATCCAGCATAAAATGGATCATAGACACAAAACATCACTGTCTACTGCTATTGATGTACAGCAAGACCTGCTTCAAATAATCCACATTCCTCAGAATGTAAAGCAAACAGATCTTCTAAGTCAGCAGCTCTGCTGAGCTATACACAGGAATGTCATCTAGAGTGGTTCTAACTTTAATGTAAAACAAAAGTTATTCCCAGGCAGGGCATAATATTTTCAGACATTTATTTTCTTTAATGGCTAAAAACACCACATTGGGCATTTCTACTTTAAAAGGCACTCAGGAAAATAACTACAAATTCATATTATCAATGAATGCATAATAAGGTACCCATAATCACAGGCAGCCTAAAAGAACAATAATTAAGAAGTAGGAATATGCAAAGGACTTAATTTGATAAATCTACTAATAAATGTTACAAATTTGATAAGTATTTATTGTGGATGATATAAGATTATGAAAGTGAGAGGTTTAAGTAAACTAGGTAAAGACAATGTCTCCAAAAGAAAACAAAATGAAACCTATGAAACTAAAATAACAATCCCACCATTCACAAAACATTGCATATTTCAGAAATATAGTCTAGAAATACAAATTTGAGTCAGACATGCTCTTAGATAAATTAGTTTAAAATATTTAATGCCAAATGGATGGAAAGGAAAAAGTACAGCCATCTGGAAGAAAAAAATCATTGAAGGGACATTGAATTGAAGTCAAATTGATCTTTGTGTACATTATGTTAGGTAAACTGACCTGGATCTTTGGGACATATTTCACAGAGTTGACTATAATTAGTCCTAGTTTTGAGCTTTTAACAACTGAGAGACTATTTCAGAAATTCTCTCTTGATCACTGAACCTATTGTCCAAAGATTCCTTACACCTGTTGAGCATAGTGGTAGTTATTTATACCTTCTGCTCATTATGAGAGTTCCACAACAACTTGTTGAAGAAAATTCCCCAGATTGGATGGGATGAAAACATCAAATTGCTGTAAAATTGCTTATTCTCAATTTCTGGCTTATCTTGGTAGTACTGGTAACAGTGTTTAACCAACACTAGTTTATAGTGTTGGTTGGTTGGTTATAACACATTTTTAGGAGTGTTGAAATACACAAGAGAGACAATTTGTGCCCTGTAATATAATTACTTAGTATTGCTTTTGACTAAGAGTAATAGGAACAGTCTAAAAAGAAAAAAAATGAATGCCTTCAGAAATGTTTCCAATAGAGATGTTGGAATTAAATCCTCAGTGGGGTAAATAAACAAAGAAAATAAGATTTAAAGTAACTCCCCCCCAAAATTGAAATATAGAATCTAAAAATGTCATTAGCTTTCAGAAAAAGTTTATTCCTTTTCTAAAAGTATTCTTTATCAAATTCTCAATAGAGTCCCAAACTTGAAGCTGTCAACAAAGAAATTATTATTAGTACTGCATGTACAATAGGGCCATGCTGTAGGGTATGTTATTTTAAAATTAATTTTACAACTCCAACACAATATATAAAAATTATTATTTTAATATGTTATTTTACAATTATTCTAATTTACATTAATTCTGGTTTTTAATTTACTTTTAACAGAATTAGCTAAACTAGCAAAATAAAATTTTATCATAATTATAATTCATTGATGACAAAACAAGCTTCACTCGACATTTTTTGGTGAAGGAAAAAACAAAGTTTTTGTGAATGTGGCAATAGTAATGAACCAAACAATGATAGTATTATTCCAAAGAAATTCAAAAGAATTTCTACTAGTCTTTTACAGGGATATCATTGCGAGTTTGATTTTGTGACGTGCTAAAACTAACGTATGTTATTTCTGAATATGTACTGTCAACCAAAGCAATAAACATCATCCTTTAAATGCCATTTATACAAAACATAAAGAAGTTCAAAACTAAAAAAATTGGAAGTATTGAATTAAAAACCAACAGAAGAAATATTAATCTTGTGCAGGTTCTCATAATCTAGCACTTTGTGTTGCTAAGACTAAAAAATACTCAATTGTCAAGACAATAATCAAAGATGGCATCAAAGATGTTGTCTTGGAAATGTTGGTTGATTCTGCAACAAAGATATTAGCTCATGTACTCAATTCCAATGACACCATAGTTCAATGTATTCAGCATTGGTTGACAATATGGAGATAAACTCATAGAATAAACAAATCTAATGAACTATTTTTCATTGCAAGTTGATAAATGCACAGCTATTACTAACACTGACCATTGCTTTACTACATGTGAAATTTGAACATACTATTAATAGTGATATAAAAGCAAAAGTATTATATCAGCATCATTCCTTACAAGTATAGTTATCTCTGAATGGTATAAAACTAAAAAAGGTTGCATTATTTTAAAATTTATTAAAAATAAGTTTTGTGTAGGACAGCTGCAATGGTAGGTAATCATTCTGGAGTAGTCATCCAGATGGAGGATGTTACACCAGAATGCCTGTAGAAGCTGAGAAATATTCACTCTAGCCAAAAAACAACAACAATGACAGAAAACTGAAAGTAAAAACAAGGACCTCCGTCTTACAACTACATGAAGCTGAATTCTGCCAACAATCTGGATGAGCTTAGAAGTGCATTCTTTACCAGAGCCTACAGGTAAGAGACCAGCTCAGCTGGAAACTCTTTCCCCCAGCATTATTGAGATACAATTGATAAAAATTATATATATTTATAATGTATAATATGGTGTTTTGACATATGTATAAATTGAGAAACGATTACCACACTCAAGCTAATTAAGATATCCATTACTTCACATAGTTATCTTTTTGTATGTGTGGTAAGAACATTTAAAGTCTACTCTCTCAGCAAGTTTCAAGTATACCTTATTATTAACTACAGTCACTACACTGTACAATAGATCTCCAGAACTTACTTATTCTGTTTAACTGAAACTTTGTACCCTTTGACCAACATCCTCCTTTTCCACCTCCCACTCCAGCTGCTGGCAACCACCATTCTACTCTCTGAATCTATGAATTTGACTTTTTTAGATTCTGCGTATAGGTGATATCATGCGGTATTGTCTTTCTATGTCTGGCTTATTTCACTTAGTATAATGTCCTCTGGATTCATCCATGTTGTCACAAATGACACAGTTTCCTTCTTTCTTAAGGCTGAATAATATACCATTATGTATATATACCACATTTTCTTTATGCATTCATCCGTCGATGGACGCTTAGGTTCTTCCATATCTTGGCTATTGTGAATAATGCTGCAATGAACATGGGGGTGCACATATCTCTTTCATGTACTAATTTCATTTCCTTTGGATATATACCCAGTGTTTCATATGGTATTCCAATTTTCAATTTTTTGAGAAACCTTTATAACAGCTGTACTAATTTACATTCTCACCAATAGTGTACAAGGGTTCCCTTTTCTCTACATCCTCACCAACACTTGCTATCTTTCATCTTTTTAGTAATAGCCATTCTAACAAGCGTGAGGTGATATCTCATTGTGGATTTCAATTTGCATTTCTCTGATGGTTAGCAATGTTGAGCACCTTTTCATATACCTATTGTCCACTTATATGTCTTCTTTTGAGAAATGTCTATTCAGGTCCATTGCTCCTTTTTTCAATTGGGTCTTTTTTTTTGGCTATTAAGTTATTTGAGTTACTTATATATTTTGGATATTAACCCCTTATCAGATTGCGGTTTAGCAAATATTTTCTCCTAGCTGCAATCTTGATTTCAATCTTGTGAGACACTAAGCAGAGAATCCAGCTGAGCCAGCCTGGATTTATGACCTAAAGAACTGTGAGATAGTAAATGAATGTTATTTTAAGCCTCTAATTTGTGGTAATTTGTTTGGTAGCAATAGAAAACTAAAACAAGACACTCTATAATTTAGCAATTATCATTAAAGTGGGCGATGATCTTTATATCGCAATCTGTAAAAAGTTATCACTAAGCATCTTAAAATTTGATGGAATGTTTGAATTTTATTTCCTATCAAAGGAAGATTCACACATCCAGAGTCCACAAATCCAGAATCCATTTCTTTCTTCAAAATATAATGTAAGTTTAGTTATAATTTAATAGGAGAACTTATAGGAACTGGCTGCTGGTAAAAAGGTGATATTAAACTTAGAAAATACAGCATTATGTTTTATAAGACAAAAAATTAACATTCTGAAACTGATGAGAATTTTAAACTCTCTTCTTCTGTTC